GAGGCACGAAACTGTTCATTTGGAATCGTGCACCATAAAGGAGTACGGCATGTGAATGATTGGGCTGAATGGACTGATTTTTTTCTTTTCGTGTTGTTTCTCACAGACATCCTAAGGTATACGGTTGAAGCCAGAACCAAACATCAGCCGTGGTCCCTTCAACCAGTATATTACAACCCGACAGGTTATATGTATCGACACAAGAGGATGACTTGGGACAAAGTTGTACTGTAGTTGGTGTGGTTTATTCGGCTGGCTTGATGTGCGGCTCTCTGCCCAATTGCCAGAGCTCATAGGGATTTTATACACTGGTTGGACGTTCCATTTTCCATCCATCATACAAGTTTCCTTGCCGTAATACGTATTAGCTACCGTCTATGAATATTAATACAGCTTGCATGAATATGTTTGGTTCATTTGGATTTCAGGATAGTGTTAGTCAAATTAATGAACACTGATGTAGCCGATAAATGCCATTGATGCTGTGTCCGCTTGGTGACGTATCCCTCTTTCGTAGCCTTACCGTTCATAACTGATTGCTGTGCGTGTGTCCGCGGGTGGGTTCAAACACTCCCGAACGAACACCACAAATATCCCGAATAGAAACTCGTGGTGGCATTTGTGGAAAGAGGCACCGTGCCTTTGGCCTTTCATCTTTCAGATACGTTACAGCCGGTTTCAACTTAATACCGTGAGACGTTTGAACGAAAAACGTTTATCAACGAATTATCAACGAATCAGTTTGATTTGTTCCAGCATTTAAAATTTGCCTGAGCTTTGACCTTCATTTATCCTGCAAGAATAGGTCAGACGACTCTGATATCCTAGACAGATTTGTTGCCCAACTAAAGGAATACCGTATCTTTACACATTATCACCATGTTGCAATAGCATGTTGTATTGCTACTTAAGTTCAATGCACGGATTGACCTTCAACACTAGAACCGCTTTCCAAGTAATGAGCCTCACTTAAATGACTAGTTGAACCACAAGTCCCTTGGGGAAGAAAGCAGGGCTGGACCGGATGGGTCATGAGGCAGCCCGCCGGCCTTATATTAAAGGAAAAGTCAGTGTTCATTAATTTGACTAACCCTACCCTCAAATCCAAATGAACCAAACATATTAATGCACGCTGTATTGATATTCAAAGACTAGAAGCTCATACCTAATAAGGCAAGGAAACTTGTACGATAGACAAAAAATGTAATGTCCAGCAAATGTATAAAATCCCTATGAGCTCTGGCAATTGGGCAGAGAGCCGCACATCGAGCCAGCTGAATAACCCACATCAAGTACAGTACAACTTTGTCCCAAGTCATCCTCTTGTGTCGATCTATATGACCTGTCGGGTTATAATATACTGGTTGAAGGGATCATGGCTGATGTTTGGTTCTGGCTTCAATCGTATACCTTATGATGTCTGTAAAAAAAAAAAAGGCAAAAAGAAAAAACAAATCAGTCCATTCAGCCCAATCATTCACATACCATACTCCTTTATGGTGCACAATTCCAAATGAACAGTTTCGTGCCTG